ACAACATGGTGAAACCCTGTCTCTACAAAAAATTAGCCAGGCGTGGTGGCAGGCACCTGTAGTCCCAGCTACACAGGAGGCTGAGGCAGGAGAATCGCTTGAAACCAGAAGGCAGAGGTTGCAGTGAGCTGAGATCGCACCATTGCACTCTAGCCTGGGCAACAAGAGCGAAACTCCATCTCAAAAACAAAAAAACAAACAAAAAAAAACGCTAGGGCTAGTGGATTCATTTCAAATTTGTCATCAGATCCCACTATTTGCACTTAAATCTTCAACTAAACATTCAGGAATTTGAGAACACCCAAAAGGGAATCTGTGAAAAAGAAGCAACAAGACTTCATGCTGATAAATGCCAACTGGTTTCTCAGGATACTGATACAAAGAGTAAGAATCTCAGGTTGATATCATTTTACATATACCAGTCACCAGTCAGCAGTCCACTAGCCATCAGGCCCCCGTCAGGTCTTCAATACCTCTGAAAAGAATGTCTGTGACATGCTAAAAAAGAAAGATTTATTTCTACATCCTATACATTCAGGTCAATGAACATTCGTGGTTGATGGGCTGGTTTTATTTTTTTTCTTTATTTTTGTTTAGAGAAGGGGTCTAGCTATGTTGCCCAGGCTGGTCTCAAACTCCTGGGCTCAAGTGATTCACCCGTCTCAGCCTCCCGAGTAGCTGGGACTACAAGCCTGTACCACTGTGCCCAACTCAGGTTGTTCGGTTTTTTTTTTTTAATGACAGCTTTACTGAGATGTAATTTACATACCATAAAATCACTGCAAAGTGTGCAATTTGATCATTGTTCATATATTCCCAAAGCGATGCAACCTTCACCACTAATTTTACAACATTTTTGTTACTCCAAAATCCCACACTCAAGCAGTCACTTCTGATTCCCCCAGCCTCTGGCACCCACTAATTTACTCTCTGTCTCTACGGATTAGCCTATTCGGGACACATCACATAAATGGAATCATATACTATGTGACCTTTTATAATGAGCTTCTCTCACTTAGCACAGTGTTTTCAAGGTTCATCATGTTGTACTGTGAATTAGTACTTCATTACTTTGTATGGGTAAATAATATTCTATTTTTGATATGCCAAATTTGTTTATCCATTCATCAGTTGATGGACATTTGAGTGTTTTTGCAGGACTTCTGACCTGCAAAAACCTTAGTCATCTAATCTGATTGCTCATTTTATGGATAAAAAACTGAGATCCAGTGAGAAAATGGGAACTGCCTCTGGCTACACAGACTTAAGACTATCAATGGACATTTGAAATGCCTTCTTTTCTCCAAGCTCACCCCATTCCAATAAAAGAAGAATGTGTTTGTTCCTAGCAGTAAAATGCAAGATAGGATAGGTCCAGAAGACCTGAGGTGGGCAGGAAAAGAAAATAGACAGGATTAGGCACAATCTTGTTGAACCAAAGGAACTTATGAAAAGATCAACAGTTTTAAACCTTCAAAAACACAGAAAAAAAGAGATGAGCACAGTGCAGACATAAAGATGCTATTTTTAATCAGAGAAGGAAAGAAACATGAAAGTGTGGGAAAACCTGAAAAGTTACTCTGAAATATCCAGTGATCCATCTGAAAATCTTTTTATTCTCAGACCCAGAAGAAAAATACACTGATTTAAAGATCCCAGAAAGAGGAAATCAAAGTCAAAACCACAAACTGAGAAGAAATGAGCACAGTAAAGGAAGTACATCACTCTACTTTCTGCAGGCCAAAAATTGCAGTGAGGGAAACTGGAAAATACCCTCTTGAGATCTGATCTTGATGACTTCAATTAGAGATGGAGTCCATCTAAAGAAAGCATTTTGTAATTTAGGAGGCTCCAATCTGTATCTAGATTGTCTATAATAATGTGGGAAATTCAGACTGAATGAATCCTATATGCAGTCTCTATTTCAGAATCCCCACTTCCTACCACCATTTAAAAGCTGGGGAAGTCTGTCTGAGCACCAGGCCTGATGCTTGACTAAATGGCAAAAATTCTAAACCAGTAAAAAAAAAAAAAAAGAAAAAAAAAGCCTAAAAAGTCACTTTCCGATCCCTGGCTTATCTAAGGATGCAAGTTAATTTGTAAATCCCCTAATGTGTATAGTTAACTTCTAGAAGAAAAAAAAAAAAAGTTAAAACCTTCTTCTTACCAACTCCACCAGAGTTCTTTCTACCAAATCCTCTTGCCTCAACAAAAAAAGAACTAACCTAACACTAGCAAAATGGATAGCAAATAGTAAATGCTCCATAAGTATTTGATTAATGAAATTGAAGATAGTATCAGATGTTTTCAAAAGAATCCTACTATTCCAAAGAAGTGTCTTAGTTTTTTATCTTACCACTAAAGAACGAAGTCAGTATTCTGATACCCAAGTCTTTAGCTTAGTCAAACAACAGCAAGACGTGTAGATGGCAAATGGCAAAAGAGTCTAACAAGGAGCAAGATGAAAGAGAATCAAGAATACAGCATTTCTACTTTTACTGCTGCTGCCGCCACTGCCAACACCCCTCCAAACCCAGCACTGCATGCTTCTCTCAGAGTCCATCCTGTTACCCAAATGATCCCACAGCAACCTCATGGCAGGAGACACACAAGGGCACCATCCACTGTGACAAGACACTGACATGCACATTGCTTTGCCTCCTGCCAGACTACGGGATGCAGAGAGGGTGCAGACCAAGGACCTTGAAAAATCAGCTTCATGTGACATCATGGTGGACATGTGTGAAAAGTACTACCCACAGAGACACTGACATGACCATCACCAGAGATCTTTCACAGAGACCATGAGCGCCCTGTCACCTGGGAAGCAATGGCAGACCCAGCTGAGCAGTGCAGACCCAGCTGGACACAAGCTGCTCCAGACCCAGCTGGGTACAAGCTGCTGGCCCAGTTGCTGGAGTCTAGTGAAGAGGACAATATGGTGGGCATCCTCTATGACAAGATATACGAGAACTTCATGGAGGAGGTGGATACAACAGATAATAAAACCTACCAGTGGAAGAAGGGGGAACTTTGACATACACTAGCCACTAGCCTGAATGCCGGCGCAACTTAATTCCACCTGGAACCAGCCCAACCAAGGTAAGGTTCAAGTGTGTAATGGAACTAACTCTTAGAGAAGAGTTTCTGCAGAGACTAGGCTTCTATCGGCACATCTGGCTGCCAGACCGGGGCATGGGGCCCTGGCCCAGTGATTCCAGGTGCACCTAAGTGGAAAGAGATGGGAAATGGCAAAAGGTAGATGCCCTTGAAAGAAGCAACTCTACCACCTGGAATCTAGGCTGCCCCTACCCCAGCCATCATCTTTGTTATCTATACTGACCAGACTAGACAATAGTAGTACAGTATACGCCCGAGGAGCCCCACTCATTCTAAAGCTAGCTGCCCCAGCCCAAGCTATGGCAGGTTCTTCAGGAGGAGGCCCTGGACCAGGTCAATGAGATTTCTGGCTGCATCTTTGTCCATACCAACAGCTCCATTTGTGGATGCCATATCCAAGAAGGTACCTTGAACATGGCCCGTGCAAACTTGCCCTAGTGCCCAATGCCTATGCCTATGCCTCCCACAAATCCCAGAGTCCAATGAAATTTCCTCCATCTTTTAAAAAAAGGCAACATTTCTAGTAAGAAAGTACTCAAAAATGATGGGGATATGTCAAAAGGACACAAAAGCCACTTGATAGAGTTCTCAATGACAAAAAGCTGGAACAACTGACCAACAAAATAAATGATAATAATATTTAATTTATAACCCACAGAGAAAAATAAATACCTAACAATTCATACTGGCATAAGTAAATAACTGAATAAATAAATAACTGAAGGAAAAGGAAGAGTGTTTCTTCATAGTAGAATTCAAATTAATAAATGGGGAAGAATGAGAAAAAGAGAAAAAGCACTCTTAGACAAGCATCAAAGTAGTAATAATTAAAGGCAAGAATCATCCATGGATGCTGAAATCAATGGACAAAAGGATGATGAGAAACCAGATATTTGCAAAGTCTCAAAGCATCTCTCAGCAAAATACAGTACTTAACTAATTACAAGGAGAAAAATCAGTTAACTTTACAGTGATCACTTAACCAAATTATCAAAGTTAACTTAGTAGTAAAAAGGCATCTGGACATCATATATTCCCTGATCTGATGCACTGAGGATGGTACAACAACACATCTGTATTACACTTGGGAAAAAACATATTTTTCACTCTAACAAAAAGAAAACATTAGACAAACCCATGTGGATGCACATTTTACAAAATAAGTCGCCAGTACTCTTTAAAAGCATCAAGGTCATGACAGGCAAAGAAAAATTGAGGAACTGTCACTGTTGGGGAGACTAAGGAGATATGATGATTGGATCCTGGAACAAGAAAAAGGCATTAATGGGAAGACTGGCGAAATTCAAATAAAACCTGTAGGACAATTAACAATATTGTAACAATGCTAATTTCCTGTAGTATTTCTGTAACTTTTTTGTAAATCTAAATTTGTTTCAGAAAAAAAAAAAATCTGTTTTTTAATGCAACATTTCTAGGTGTGAGATCTTACTGTTTCAACCCCATTGTGAGAAATAACCCATTTTGGCTAGCTTTTATAATTTTCATATTAAGAGAGTTTATCAAATGATATCAGATTCAGAATATGTTTGTTGCTGGACTGCAGCAAACACAATAAGAAAACAAGCCAATGAATGAAAAACACACTTCTAAAACTCTGACGGCATGCTCTTCACAAAGAAAAAACAGAAAAAAGACATGAACATTCTAGTCATAAAACAATGACCCGGAACACAAATAAAATAACCTGAAACACAAAATGTCAAGAACTGAACAAAACCAACTGAATCAAAATATGATGAGATGATGACTTGGTGGGTTTCTGTCGTGGTCAATTTTTATGAGTCTGGTAAGGAAGGGCTGTCATTAGGTAAAGGTTGAATTGGTTCTGGTACATTCACTGAACTCATTCTGGTACATACCCAGATTTTAAGTCAGTTATCCTCAAACAGTTTGTAGCATCCAGTCCCACTTTTCCATTCCGGACCACGCTAGATATGAAAGGCGAGAGCATTGGAGATATTCGGTTCAAGGCCACTTCTGGGGACATTTTAACTTGACTTGTAAATCACCACTGAAAGTAGAAGGAAAGAATGATGATCAGGGCTTACAAATGGACTAGATACAACACGCTTCCTGAAAACTGGACAGCATACAGCAGTTCCTCTTGCATGAATAAATAATTCCTTTCCCATCTCTAGCGCAGCCTCTTCCAGTGATCTTCCAGAAGAAACCACCTCACTTCTTCTCAGCTACTCAGGACTGGGACTACACCACTGCTTTTCAGGAACAGAAGGAACCCCTGAAATACAATTCCCTCTTCCTTCCCAAAGCTGATTTCTACACTGCCATACTCTACTTAAAGTGGTCCCACTCTATCTCACAACTGGCTTGCTCTATTTTAGTTGAGTCCAAGGAGCCCTTGCTAGCAATCCTCTATCCCAACACAAAAACACACACATCACTGAGTTAGCAATCTCTCCCTCTGTGCCCCCACAAGGAGTAAAAACTTGATGGATAATACCATATAAAACCCTATACAACAGGCTAACCTGCTTGCAACTATTCCTTACTAGAAATTATTTACTGCTGATATACCTTTTTTTTTTTTTTTTTTTTTTTTTTTTGGAGACGGAATCTCACTCTGTTGCCAGGCTGGACTGCAACAGCACAATATTGGCTCACTGCAACCTCCACCTCCCAGGTTCAAGTGATTCTCCTGCCTCAGCCTCCTAAGTAGCTGGGACTACAGGCATGAGCCACCAGGCCCAGCTAATTTTTGTATTTTTAGTAGAGACAGGGTTTCACCATGTTGGCCAGGATGGTCTCGATCTCTTGACCTCATGATCCACCCGCCTCAGCCTCCCAAAGTGCTGGGATTACAGGCGTGAGCCACTGCGCCCGGCCCACTGCTGATATACCTTTCTTAATAATCTTTCCGTCCACAATGTAGTAAAACTACCTGTTTATGTGATCTCTTCCCTGCAGGGACTACATTTTGAATCCCCAAGGTTTAACAGAAATACCTGGCACATGCTAAACACTCAATAAACATTTTTTAATAAATAAATGAGTAAGGGGACAAAAGTTAGAGAAATATTTCTGTATGGAGAGAAGATAATGTGCCCCCCCCCAAAAAAAATTTGGTAGGGGAATAGACATAACAAAATCCAAGGGATAGATATAGCAAAAATCTACTTGACAATTAAATTATGAAAACATCACCTATGCAGCTATCAAGCAACACAGACTAACACGGATCTTAAGGTATTTGACTTTAAGGCACTAAGTCCTTACACTTAAAACCACAAAAGTAGAACCAATACATCATATCTAAATTATCTGGAAACTCAGGGGCTGGGGGAGAGAGTACACGAATTCTTCTTAATAGATTTCTAAATGAAAGCCTCTTCCTTCAGAGGAATAAGTCGATTCAAATGATCGTTTCCTTCCTCAATTTTAAAGAATAATGCCACATCAAAAGAAAATTAATTTCCAGCAAGTTACCAGTAAATGATGTTCTGGTTCTAGTTTTCATACATTATACCACATGAAAACTTGCAAGTCCTTGCTAAAATAAATGTTGAAAAGTAGAACCTGTTTCAATGTATTATTTCAGATAGTAAATAATAAATTTATTTGCTAATTTGATAGCTCAAAAAATAACACTTTGACCCTATATAGTGATGACACCCAGAAGTATCTTCAAGATACTTATAACACCTTTATACTTATACTTCAGTTCCAAAATCATCCTTTTTGTAAATATAAAACAAGCTCTTCTTCTGACCACTTAACAGATGACCCCCACCGACTATTCTCTCATTTCAAAGTAAGACTAAACATCTAACACAGTACTACCAATCATAAAAATCATGTACTTTTTAAAATGTTTTATCACTTATAAGGAGCGTCCATATATACTACTGCAGTTGATCTTCACAAGCCCGAGGTAGTAAAGAATTTTAATTCCCATTTTGCAGATAATATGGGTAATTATTATCATTTGATTCTGAACAGTATACTAATCCACATCATAATTTTGAAGCCTATTTTTTTCCATTCGCCAACATTTCCACCTTCATGTCTATGTCACAATTCTTGAAGGGATGCTTATCAAAGTCATATGCTAAGTACAAATATACCCATGTTATAAAAAAGCAAAAGGGTCTCACCTATATTACAAAATTGTTCTTCTGTGTTTTTTCCCACAGTACCTATTATTACTTTATCTCTTGTTTCTACAAAAGAAGGAAACAGAACCAACACAATCTAGACATCTATCTACCCACTATCAGGCATTATATTACTTTCTATCTGTAATTTCATTTACTTTCCCCCAACTCTGTTCCCTGAGAACAATAATTGTTCCCATTTGACAAATGGAAGCTAAAGAAACTTGACAAATAGAAAATTAAAGCTCAACAAAATAGAGTAACTTGTTGAACGTTGGAAGTTGGAGCATCAGAATTCGAATCCGGCTTCTCCAAGTCCACTATACCCATCTTCCTCTCAAATAAACATTGGTAACTTCGATCACCAAAGAGAAAAGCATCAAGGTGATTTTTTAAAGCGTATATCTTATAAAATGTGAACAGACAAAAAGTAACAAATTTAAACAAATGATTGCTTTACCACTAAAAACACACTGGACTATTGCTGGGCTACTGCTGAACCTGTTCAGAGTGATTCACTAGACAAATGTTAAAAGGAACAACCTTGCTCTAGAAGCCAAACCATACTAAAAGTGACACCAATACATTCTAATTCAGCAACGGTCGTGACTTTAGAATGACACCTTAGAGATGAATTCTCTTTATTTCTAGGGCAGCCATAATACTATTTTTTGACAGTGCAAGGTTTCACGCAGTTTTAAAATCTATTTCAACCACGAGGAGGTGTGACTTCTCTTAAAAAAAAAAACAAGGGAGGCTGGAATACAATGACTCCAAAATCAGAGGTCACTTAGCCAAAAACACTGGTCCTTTGGTGCAGTAAACTGGGTACATGGACAGGGAGTCACCACCGGTAGTAACTCTTACGCATGGCAGCACTATAATACACCCCAGATATACAAATATTTATGGTGGTCAGAGTCACCTGAATGCTTCTCCTGCAATTTGTATTTCCTGATTTTGACGTATTGCAAAAGGAAAATGCAAAATTACAATTTTTGCAAGGGTCTGCTACCCCAAAATAAAGTTACAAAAGGTCCTTTGATGAGAGGCCTGGGGATTACAAAGACGTCTAAAGCGCCATCCAGGTTCTTGCAATTAAAAATAGATGACAAACACGGAAACATGTGCCCTGCTGACGTCATGGAACGGAAAGGGGTGGCATCCTGCTGCGTCACGTCGACGTCATACAGCGCACGAGGGAAGTTACACTGGGGAAGTAATTTCCCCCAAGGGGCAACATTCGAGAAAAACAAGCTAGCTCAGACCCGAAGAATGACCACCCCACTCTAGGGGACGTCTTAAAAGGGACACTCTCCCCTCTCCCAAACTGTATGGTTCCCCTCATCAGGCAACAAGGAACTAATACTCGGGGTTTACAGGGACCAGGGGATGGGCCATACATGGAGAAAGAGACGCATCTGGCCTTGGGGGCTCGTTCTTGAGGGGATCAGCGTGATGGGGATGAGAAGGGCATCTTTGGAACGGGGGGCCTTCCCCATAGGAAGAGGAGGCGAGTCCCCTGGCCATATTTAAACCACGGTTCTCCACGCCACCTGTGCGACTCGGGATCCAACCTCCCCGCACCAGCCCCAGTCCAGGTACCTGGAACTTAGTCCGATCGGTAACCGGCGACTACGTGGGGTACAGGTACCCGAGCGCGCCCCCGACCGACGCACCGACCTGCGCGCGCGCCGCGGGCCGGATGCGTGCGCACTCCCCGGACGTCCCGCCCCGCCCCCTCTGCGGCCCCAGAGCTGGGCGGCGTGCGCGCCCCCGCGCCGCGCCGAGCCGGGCGCTCGGAAAGGCGTCCCCGCGGTGCCTGACAGTTCCTTCCTCAGTGCCTGCCCCGTGAGTGGCGAGGAGCGCGGAGTCTTGCCACATCAGGAGGGCCCTGTTACGTGAGGCTGTGCACGGAGACTATTCCAGGAAGAAGAGGGGACACTTGGTGGGCGGGGTGATTTCGGGCAGTCAGGTGGGCGACCCGCGTAGGCGTCTGAAAGGCCCGCGTCGTTAGGGAAGGCAGGAGCGGCGTCTCTGGTTACAGGGTTGGGCAAAGGGCAGAGGTCAGCGTCCAGGTTGGACAGCAGCACCTTTGAGCGATGGCGGCGTCTGGGGAACCCTGGAGGCAGTGGCAGGAGGAGGTGGCGGCGGTGGTAGTGGTGGGCTCCTGCATGACCGACCTGGTCAGGTTAGTCCGGGGCGAGTTACTGAGTCTGCGGCTTGGGGGAGGAGGTGTGCCGTGCGCTATGCGCCCAGCGGAGCTCTTGGGCGCTGGGTCTCCAGGGATAGACCGTGCTAGCTTTGGGTATGAGCTGCAGGTTTTCGAACCCCTCAGCCTGCCTTCCCGGCATGAAAGAATTTGAGTCTGTAAAGGTAAACCTCAGGGGAGGGGACATAAGAGGCCAGGGTTTAGTGAAAGCTCTAATATTACTCAAAGCGCTCCCCAAAGACCTTTCTTGGCCCGGCTGCTGAGCCTTTCCCCAAACGAGCCAGGGAACTTTGCCTACGTCATTTTACCTCCTCTGAGAATGTGCCTACCTCACAGGGTTGTTGTGAGGACTAAATGAAGTAAAGTGTTTTGTCAAGCGTAACATTATCCAATTTGGATATTATTCGTCTGAGCTTATTGTATAAAATAATGAGTCGAGCAGAAGTAAAAAAGTCTGTCAGCTTTCCCCATGTTGATTGTCGGCATTACTGCAGTATTTTATATTTACAGCGTATATTTCAGCAAGCCAGGTATGAATCAAAATAAAAACATAAACACAGTATTTACAACCACTAAAAACTATCATCAAATTATGATAGAAAATATGGCAAATGAAAATTGTTGAGTTAGGTCAGTAAGACTGAGTAAACAGATCCTTCTGATTTATCTTTTTTTTAAATTAAGGTAGCTTTTCTGATTATAAAAGTAAAGTATGTTCATTGTAAAAGTAGTAATAAATTCAGATATTCCAAGAAAATCCTACCACTCCAATTACTGCAGTTCAGTCTTTTGATGAATATCTTTTCAGATGTAATGCTACTTTTATGTTATAAAAATGATCAGGTATACTACAGTAACACCTCATCTGTCCTGAAATGTTGCTTTTCCAAAGGGTATTAGAGAAAGTGGAACTAAACAAAAAAGCCTTGGGGCAATCAAAATAAGTCACCAAATTGCTGCACCAAACCACCTGTATTCTACTCAAAAAATAGGTCTAGGGTCTTCATGTAACCAATTTAACCTTACCTTAAAATATTTATAAGCTGTGTTGCCAAATTTCCACTGAGATTAGAAAGGTGGGAGTAGAGAGGAGAGGCTGCTTGAGGCAGTTATAGTGACTGATGAAAACTTGAGGGTGAGTAGGAGACTATGTAACAAGAAGAAGCAATAAAAGAATTTTGAATATCAGTGACCTTTATTTTTCCACAAATATTAGAACTATTTTGTCAGACACTGTGCCAAAATAAAAATACTTTCCTTTGGTGACAGAGCATAAAATTGAATCTAGTTGGAGACATTTGTTGAAGAGGCCTGTACATCTTTTTCTAGAGCAAGAGTCAGTAAACTTTTCTGTAAAGGGCCAGATAGTAAATATTTTAGACTTTGCAAGCCATGTATGGTCTAGGTCACATTTTTTTAACAACATTTTTTAAATGTAAAAACCATTCTTACCTCCCAAGCCTTACAAGAACATCCTGCAGGCCATAGATTACAGACACCTGTGTAGAAAGAACATCACTGTGTTTACAACACAATATAGCAATTGCTTTTACTGGTGATGACTCTTTTCAATAAAAGGTTATATGGTACTTGTTAAATTTTGTATAAAAATGGGACATGTATTTCACTTTAGAAAAAGTTTCATCAAAAATTCATAAAGTTTAGTTACATAAAGAATAAACCTTCAGTAAACCTTCATCTAAAATGGTCATCCCATGCGAAATCCACCTAGCTAAATGTTTACCGTGATTTTATATGTGAAGTGGCAGAAGAGTAAGAAAACTAAAGTGGGCCAGGCGCAGTGGCTCACACCTGTGATCCCAGCACTTTGGGAGGCCAAGGTGGGCAGATCACCTGAGATCAGGAGTTTGAGACCAGCCCAGCCAACATGGTGAAACCCCATCTCTACTAAAAATATAAAAATTAGCTGGGCATGGTAGCTGGCACCTGTGATCCCAGCTACTCAGGAGGCTGAGGCAGGAGAATTGCTTGAACCTGGGAGGTGGAGTTAGCAATGAGCCGAGATCGCGCCATTGCACTCCAGCTTGGGCGACAAGAGCAAAACATCTCAAAACAAAAAAAAAAAAGAAAAGAAAATTAAGTTTTCTCATACATACTACCTAAATAAAAGTGTCAGGGTTAAAATTCAGAGCCATTTCCTTGTTACCAAACTAAGAACTTTCTGTGAAGCTTGACCATCAGATACTAAAAATAACTATAATACTTTGTGGAGTGGGGTAGGGGAGTGGTGTCAAAAGCCCATTTTAGTATCCGTCAGGGTTTTAAAATCTTATTTCAGAGCTAGAAAAATCTGGAAATTATTTATTCTAGTCCTTCAGTTTTTAGATAAATAAACTGAAGCCCAGAGAATAATTTCTCCTCTTGCCCATATTCTTTCCTTCATAAAATATCCAAGTTTCTTCTCTTCACATGAATCATTAGTAAAAATCTAATCATTAGTAAAATTTTTACTAATGATTCACTAATCATTAGTAAAATCATTAGTAAAAATTTTAACTAATGATTGGTAAAATCGTTAGTAAAAAATCATTAGTAAAATCATTAGTAAAAATTTTATTCCCGTATAGACTCTCACTACTAATTCCCACAGGTTTTCAACAAACTTTTCATGGTCTCTCATTACTTATGACTCTGAAGATCTTCACAGAAATCAGAGTATAGGATTTTCATTTAAAACCCTACATCTGTGATAAACTTGGGTGCAACTTTTCTAGTTACAGTTAGTATCATGATTATATTAATTATCTACTGCTGCTGTAACAGATTACCAAACTTAATAATTAAGTAACGCAAGTTTATTTTTTTACAGTTCTGGAGGTCAGAAGTCTAATACGGGTCTCACTGGGCTAAAATCAAGGTGTCAGCAGGGCTGGGCTCCATTCTGGAGACTCTAGAGGAGGCTCTGTTTTCTTTCCTTTTCCACCTTCCAGAGACTGCCCACATCCTTGGTTCATCATGGCCCCTTCCTCCATCTTCAAAGCCAGCAATGGTGGTTCAGGTCTTTCCCACATCACATCACTCTGACCCCCAGTCTTCTGGCTCCCTCTTCTACATTATAAGAATGCTTGTGATTACATTAGGGGAATTAATTACATTAATTCAGGATAATCTCTTTATTTTATGGTAGCTTATTAGGAACCTTAATTTCCCCTTGCCATGTAACACCATATTCACAAATTCTGGGGATTTGGATGTGGACATCCTTTGGGATAGGGGAGCAGAGAGTATGTTATTTTTGCTACCACAGTGGTTAAGCTTGAAGTAAAAAATCCTACAATACTTAGTTCTCAGAGACTCTTTGAACCTATCATTCTATCCTCACATTTTACAGGTGAGATAAGGAAGAAAGCTTCAATGACTTACTCCAAATCACACAGCCAGTGAGTGGCATAGTAAAGGCTGCTACCCAGGTCTCCCAATCCTTACCTTTCTTTTTTATTTTTTTAAATATATATTTTCTATTTTTTTTTTTTTTTAAGATGGGCTCTCGCTGTATTGCGCAGGCTGGTCTTAAACTCCTGGGCTCAAGCTATCCTCCTACTTGGCCTCCCAAAGTGCAGTGGTTACAGGCGTGAGCCACCGTGCCTGGCCCCAATTCTTATCTTTCCATTATATCATTCTACCTCTAACTCTGACTAGTGTTTATTGCCCTTTTCATCTACAGTACATTTGATAGCTTGTAGTCTGTACATTCATTGTTAACTTTATAAACTGATAAGGAATAACAACTAAGGATTTATAATTTTCAAGTCTAAAGATAGTATCTTTATTACTGTGCCTTATTCCTAAATTTAACTGTAACTAACCTGGACACCCATGCCTATTCTTTAGTATCACTTCAGAAATAAAACTGCTTCAATAACTAAGCCCTTTTGGATGGCATCCAAACCCAACTTACTTTATATATTACATTACTGTGTGCCAGACACTGCTAATTCAATCAATGAATAACTGGTTTTTTCATTTCTAATTTCAGTCAGCTATGAGTAGTAAGTCCTATGTAGTAATAATTTTTAAAAATCATTAGCTCATACAGCATGACAAACAATTGAAATTATTTAATACTTTTTCTCATTATCCTCTTCCTTCTTGAACACTCATCTCTAAAGTTACACACTACAAAGATACAAGAAATGAACCCTGGTCTTATGGGATATAAAGTCAAAGATTTTCCAAAGACAGATTTCCCCCCCAAAAAAAAAAAGTGTGAACATTTTTAGACATTAGGCTCATAGGCCTTTGTTAATCATGCTTTCATGAGTAATCCTTATTTTTTTATGACCTGTATCACCCATTTTTTCAATTATTCATTCAAGAAATACTTATTGAATTTATAGTGTGTGCCAGGCACTTCCCGATGTGCAGAGGATACAGCAGTGAAAACACAGACAAAAATCCCTGCCTCATGAAGTTTACATTCTAGTAAGACAATATCAGTAGAAATAAGATAAATACATAGTATGTTAGATAAAAGCTAAGGAGAAAAATTAAACATGTAAAGAGGGATGGGAATAGGAACTTTAGATTACTGGCTTCAGAAAGCCTCACTGAAAAGGCCATTTAGAGTAAAGACCTAAAGGAGGAAGGAAAACAAG